AAACTAAATAGCCATTACATCGTCCAAACTATTAAAAGCAAAAGAATGCACCGAAAGGCAGAGGAAGAAATTCTGAAGAACTAACTTGATTTTTTTCCAATTATATGAGGACGCCCCCTGAATTTTCATTTCTAGTTCGAAGCAGATATAACCAATCCCTTGTTTTAATCCGGTTTATAAACAAACACTATTGGCCTAATTGAGTTTTTTAATATTGCAGACAAGTGGCCCCATATGATTCGAACCATCGTCACTCCCTCTTAACCAAATCCAAGTGGCCTCTCGCCATAACGATCCTAGGAGATTAGCTGCAAATATAATGGCCCAGTTTTCCTTTACCATGCACTAGTAACTCGTTACTCGGGCTAAACAACGAATAAAATTCTCCGGATCGTCACAAAGCAGCTTTTGGCCGGATTAGTTATATGAATATTTGTATGAGGTCGATGTTAGCAATGGAACCAAACAACTTCACGGTTGAAGAACGCTAGGACACTGTAAACTCACGACATACTGAAAAGAACTGAGACAGAAACGTACCATTCAGCAGTGAGGTAACCAACTCTTTTCCGAACGTTTGCATTTGGCTCTGCTGGATCTTGCCTCACAAGAATAGGACCAACCAGTTTGTAAACAATTGAATCTTCTTTCAGCAAATCCAACTCCTGCACGAGGCAAAAAAAAGAATGCAAGAATTAAAAATGGCTTAGACGCAATATAACAATCGTCTCAGACTTGACGATGACGACAGTTCCCTTCTTGATATACACTGGAGGCAAATAACCAAAAAGATTCACTCACTTCAATATGTAGAATACAGTATACGCAATATAATGTGTTTCGAAACTGAATCTAATTTATTTCGCTGTGCATTATCATTCAGTGGCGCCTAAGACAATCTCGGAAACGACTGAAATAACATGAAGATATGAAGCAGAGACGGACACGAAACATTTGACAAGAAATATATAGAACTTCAAACAGATTCGTGCTCGCTTTTAATTTCTAATAAAACAAGCAATAAGCAGAAGAAAGCGCACGTTAAGTGAAGATATGAAGCGGCGCCTAAGAAATGCGCAATCTAATTGATTTCGCTGTGTATTATCATTTCAGTGCAGCCTAAGACAATCTAAGAAACGACTCAAATAACACGAAGATATGAAGCGGAGTCGAACACGAAAGATTCGACAAGAAATATATAAAACTTCAAACAGATTCGTGTTCGCTTTTAATTTCTCATAAAACAAGCAAGAAGCAGAAGAAAGCGCAAGTTAAATGAAGATATGAAGCGGCGCCTAAGAAAGCGCAATCTAATTGATTTCGCTGTGTATTATCAATTCAGTAGCGCCTAAGACAATCTCAGAAACGACTCAAATAACATGAAGATATGAAGCGGAGTCGAACACGAAATATTTTACAAGAAATACATAAAACGTCAAACAGATTCATATTCGCTTTTAATTCCTCATAAAGCAAACAAGAAGCAGAAGAAAGCGCAAGTTAAGCGAAGACATGCTACAACCTGGAGAACAAACTTCCTTTCACCTAGTCCTGTATCATACTTCGGTCTTACGTGATAATTCTTCGCAATGCTTGACAGATCATTCACCACATGAAATTTTCGATTCATACATCAGATCTTCAAACCAAAAACTTCACAAGAAAATGCGTAGGATCGTAGATTCATGGAAGTTGAGGAAATGAAATGAAATTATAGGACTGTGAAGCAGAGTCAGACGAGAAAAATATCGAAGTTACGATGCTTGCCTTTCTAAAACTTTCTGAGATCTCTGCCTTTCATCTTGAGATCGCACGGCATCTCCTCCTTGATAGTGGTGAAGAAGCTCATTCCGAAACCTCCTCGCTTCGATTTGCTCTTCGCTCCCTATTCTCCCGCCTTTTCTTTCGTCAGAGCGGTAACAACTGATACGTAATCGTAGCAACGCCTATACAATGAATAAAATACTGTAGATCAAATAATGGCAAATTCGCCTCAAATTCAAGACCATGGCATTTGGGGACATTTTCGTAAATGCACAACTTTTTATTTACTCCAACTTTTCGAGACCACGGGAAATTGGCATATTTAGCCATTTTAAATATATTAAATTTAAGAATCCTAATACAAACAAAAATAAATTTTATGTTCAACAAATCTATTAATTTTACAAAATATTTGAATATATCAAATTAACCATTTTAAAATTCATAAACTTATAATACAAAATTTAAATTAAGCGCTAAGCTTTTTCTAAGTTAAAATAATTTAATTATCAATTTATATCATGTCACAAGGCAAATAATTGTAAAAATTATGCAATCTGGGGGCGGGGGGGGGGGGGGG